AATACACTTCTCCCATGCTTGTTTTCATACTTTGGCAGGTATCGAGCGAAACAAAGGGGAACATTTGCTCCAGAATGGCAGCATACTACTTAATTCAGATCAAGACGCTATCCGATACTTCACAAAGTGAATTGACAAACTGGGTGGCTCATCCCAAACGCCCCCTTTGCGTGCATCCCCGAACGCGTGGGAACACGTCACTCAATTGCAAACACTCGTCTGGGAAGTTTTGTACATTCTGCCGCTCGGTTTGTGTTTCACAATGCAGCCAGTCGTGAAATTGACACCACCGATCGATTATTCTCTCGTGGCCTGTTTTTGAATCACTCGCCAAAACGATAACATATATGTCGCCCATGCAGACCGGTCCAAGGTCAAAACGGACTGGAATCTGGCACTTCCCAAATGTGTACAGTTGGGTGAAGTCAAGGTTGTGTGCGAAGATGAAGTCTGAAGGATAATCACCATCACAAATGGTCATCAATTAAACACATCTTCCAAACCGCTTCACTTGTAAGAAATTCATACTCACTGCTCGCGGACTTGAGCTGAACAGCGGCAGTTGTCAATCGATCCCCTAATTAGGTCGATGGATTCACACTGCAGCTGATGAAACCCGACCAGGTCCAAACCGCTATACCGCACAACCCAGCTTTTCAGTTCATGCCGAATTCCTTCTACGAAATTAAATCAAGTAGTCCATTACTCAGATGCAATACACATAAAGCTGATGTGGCCAGCTACTGCCGTAATTTATCTGTGCAAATACAAGCTGGAACCTATGGCGTTCTCCTTAAACCCACAATTTTCTACGAAAAAAAGAACCTTCGTAAACTAAAATAGAACGAGGGACTGCTATATCTTGTTTATTCAAAATGAAAAGCGGTCTGATCACCTGCCCGGTGATCAAGTGGATAGTATGCTTGAGTTCTATCTGTGAGGTCTCGGGTTCGATCCCCAGTTGGGTCGATGGATTCGTGCACTGCACGGATGAGACCAAAGTAGATCGAATCAGCTGTTCAGTGCCCCTCAGCTTCGCAGCACGTGCTGCATTAACGCGAAAAGGTCTTCATACAATCACATCAAATCATCCACTACTCATAAAAATTGAAAGAAGAGTCCAAACTGCTAATTGGTCGAGCTTTTGCATTCAGCCCGTTTCGCAATAAACACAATGCAGCTCATCATTTTTTCGATTTTTCCGTGATTACAATTTTTGAATATACTTATTTGTCTAACCAATCAATAAAAAAGATCCACCTTGACCATTCGGTCACCCTATTTCTTCTAAGCGCAGTTGTTAAAACTCCTAGGCTCATAGTCTTGCTATCCGGGCCCAAATAATGTTCCGGAAAATTCTTCAGCTAGTATTTAACTGTCATGTATGGTTTTTTCCGTCGTGGAGGATTTTTTGCCTTATGATCAATTTAGCAAAGTAGTGATTGATACAAAGCAGCACTCGGAAAACCTGTCAGCACATTTAGTCGCTCAACGAGTCATACATTCAAATTTTCAAAGGATGGGAGGGGGCAGCAATCACTTGACGCAATGTATCGTCTAATCGTTTGCTCACATCCTAACAACGGTTTGACAGTTTGAACAAGTATTTCCATACAGAAATGGAGGACCTGGCAACGTCGCAAAGCTAACTTCGATCAATGGCTCAGTATAGATGGTGACTACCAAAGCTTTTACACAGTGATGAAGTGAATCTCAGTGTTTCGTAATGGCACATTCTTTTCGTTTGCATTTTATGTTAGACTGTCAATAATATCAGACTGGTTTGGTCTGATTGTTTAATTAGGCTGATGGACATGGAGACAATTCAATTCCGTTTCGAGTTTGAAAAAAAACTCCTTAATCACACAGCCAGACACACGGTTAGTGTGCAGATATCAGAAAATATTTGTCTCCGCAAAATCAATACGAGTCTCAGAGGTCAGCAGTTGCAAGCGGTTTGGGCTGAATGAAGGGAGTGAAGAATAAATACACTCAATTGGCCGAGATCACGATAATCACCCTACCATTCCAAAATCAGACTAATGAGAGCAATCATTTGCATGGACCCGGTCTATGGCTTCCAGTAGCCGCGGTCTCCCCAGACAGTAACAATGGATTAGTTGTTTGTTGTCCTATAACCTGGAATTTTTGCTTTGGGTTGGAGAAAATTTCACAGTAAATCGTAGGTCATGGAGCTGTAAAGTTTGTACACCTAATTGTAGTTGCTATTTCTAAAAACTAAATAGAGTTATTAAAGTCACATTGCAAATGATACCCTGCTCTAATTCATTGCCACAGTTTTTCAGGGTTATAACTGAGGAAGAAACCCCGAACAGATGTTTTGAAACGATAGACAGAATGTTTCTTCATTTGTGAACGTGCGCCCGATTTCTCCGAGTTTTTGTCTGTTGCATGTGTATCTTCCAAACAACAACAACAAAAAGACAAAGAAAAAATCAGACTCTTGAAAGCCCATATCGCTTTCCCTTCTTTGCCCTTGAGCTTGATCGAGCAGCGCATGCGTTCAGTGTCTTACATGGACAGATCGATACGATCGATCAGACAATAGATTAAACGCAATCCTATCCTTTTCCCTGATGGTTTCGTTGTTAAACCAATCAACTTTCGAGATTTGCCCAATAAATAAAGCTGAACCGTCGTGAACTGTATAAATCGATGGAAATGAAATAGGAGTCAAAAGTAATTAAGATCTTTTGTTTCATACCAAACTTTGTTTGGTTTGTCTAGTATTGTTTTTCTGATCGCTTTGATACTTTTGCGATTCCAACAAAAACGTACCGTCGTGCACATACAAGGTCAGTCCTGAAACAGTTTGTTTTTACCAATGGAAATCGGGCAAAACGAATGTTTTTCAGCAAATGATTGGCAGTCAGATTCAGTGCGTTTACGTGTGTACTACTGTAAAGAAAGTCCAAATTAATAGCCAGAATCCACACATTTCAAAGTTGTTTTCAACTTGCGGGCTCTCGTCATCAGCAGTTCCAAAACAAACTAAACTTTGCACCTGTCAAACAGCATCAGCAGCAACAACACTGATTGAAGAGTGGCCAGCAATGTATTTAAAGGGAACATCATGAAGAAACGTTGGTTTCCTTGTTCAGGACTGGTTAGTCTTGTTTTATGAAAGAACTCATAGTTTCCGTCTACTCCAGTCTAATATCAATGGAAGAGATGTGTATGTTTGAGTCGATATTGAACGAATCTTGTGTAGGCTAAATTCTTCTTTTGGTTCACATCAAATGCGTTCTTATTTCGTTAGGTTGAACACTAATTCAAGGTCAGTGTAAGCTCATTCTACACCCACGGTCTGGACCACAGCAACGTGGTGGCGGAATCGCACAGCAATGTATCAATGTATTGATCGATAAGTGGACAAAATAAGGTGTTAATGTACACAATTTTAATGGTAGAATATTGAATAATTATAAGGTCGCTGTTGATTCCGGTCTCCATCCGATTCTGTTTGTGAATCCATGTTATCATCTTTGAGAAGTACTTTAATAAACCCCAAACAGATTTTACAGCATCACCTTGGGTGCTCATGAGAACCCCATTAGGACACCAGAACCCAATCATTGATCTCGGGAAATTCGGTGTTCAAGTAGTTGATCGATAGTTCGAAACTGACAAGTTTGTAGCATGGTGTTAGACTTTAATGATCAACGATTGTTTTGACCTAACACCATCATGGTGGTTGAAGATGACATTGATCCAACATAACAATGTGAGGCTTGTTATGCACAGAGGCGTTACACACGCATTATCAGTTGCTGCCTGCTGACTAATGGACAGAAATATTCATCAATCTTTTTGCTGATCATTGTTTTGACATTTGTTTGAAATGTGATCATTGACCCTTAGTGCTGCGAATTAAACTACCATGGATTTAAGGCATCAATTTTCTGACGTAACGACAAATGAGTAATAAGGGAAATGAAGGGCATTTGCGGTTATCGGTAGAAGTGATCTCACACGTGACTGATGATCCTAAGTAAAGGTTTCGCAAAATTCCCGTAGTGGGATAAATGAGATGAGAACAATCCATTATCATTCTGATCTGAACTCTGATATCACAATTAAAAGATCTATTTGAACTGGTGCCAGTCAAAACGAACAATCTAGGTTTATCACTCAGCCAAGAGCCAACAGAGTATGAATCCAAATTTCATCGATCCACATGTTATGATAACGGGAAAGTAAAGATTTAGTAGTGTATTTATTACCAGAAGTTTACTGAAAATCAAATTTTTCAGCCGTGAGTGAAATGGTATGGATTGACTTATCCCGTAGTGTAATGCTAGCTTACGTCATTTCAAACTACTGTGGGTGGCTGAGGAACAGCAGAACATGTCAAATCCAGGTTGAAATGTGAGTTGGTCTTGAACCCATGGCTTCAGGAATGTTGACAATAAATCTAATAACTAAGATCACTTGCACTAAATATCTACAACGAAGTACTCTTGTCCTTCGTATCAGCAATGATTGCTATGTGCAACCGATAGCTACCGGTCAAGCAAAGCACACTGATACGTAGAAATAATCCAAATAACGTTTTGACCAACCTTCCACTCACGTCACACAAAGCACCTCTGTTCACTTGGTAACGCACAAAATGAGCTTACCTTGGCATTGTAATTCACATTGGCGCCTCGTTCAATCAACAATTTGGCAATATTCAAGTTTCCATAGTGTGCAGCAATATGTAAAGGGGTGAAACCACTCTGAAGTTAAGAAGGGGGTTGGAGTAGAGAATGTACGTGCGATCAATCGGATGCACACAAAAAACAAAGTGAGAGTAATCGAATGAATGAATGAATGTCGTCAGTTTTCTAAAGCGACATCAATCATAGCGCACTTCGAAATGCAAGTCACGTATTAAACAGCATTACTGCTTCATAAATCTATTAATGCATTATCTGCTGAAAATTGGATAACTGTTCATCAAAACCACATTGGTAGTCGAAGGCATTTTTTCAAGTTCATGGCTCCTTTTCCCACAACGAGGATGATGTGGGAGCAGTCGCCTGAAACATTCTTCGCGGTACTTAAATCCAAGTGAACTCTGATTACGGCTTGTTTTCTCAAACAGGTGTACAGGTGATTAGCGTAACACATGTCGGAGATGAGGTTATTTTGAGATCCAATACCGCACTAGCTTTGATTGATTCCAGCGTTCCATTTCATTTGCCACTGATCGCCTAAGCACTGGGGTTTGAACCCCGAAGCACGAAAGATCCTGTATTCAAAGGGTAATACTTCTGAGATTCTATTAAATGGTTCTTCGGAACACAGACGTCATGTGCATACTACAACCCATCGCCCCTTTTACCTTTGTTCATTTCGAGATAGAAAAAATTGGGACAAATTTGTGTTAACCCAAACGCACAGGATCTGGCTTAATCATGTACCCGATAAAAGTTCGATTGCAACCGAGGGCTGATAGAATAGTGCCCGTGGCCATGTCCCCAGGACTGTAAACATACCAAACTCGACAGATGATTGAACTGGATTAGTCTGTTCATTGTTTTCCTTTAGTTCAATCACATTGTAAACAGCTGGAGTTGGACATTAGGCTACAACTGCAATACACGCTACAGTTTTCCTGTGTGTCCACGATTTTACATTGGTTCGCAGGGACTTCGTCGGAAATATTAATAGTGGTATCTAGTATTTGAACAAAGTTGGAGACAGCTGACCCAATTCCTAGACTTCAATAAATAATTATTTAACTTGTCATTCAATGTCAACCTCCTACGATTGAACTCTTAGTCAACTATTTTTCCAACCGTCGGCAGTTCACACACTACAAAGGTCGTACATCTTCATTGCTGCCCTCCTCACAAGGCGCGTACTGCAAGGCGCTATTTTATCCCCTTTTCTATTTTTCGCTTACATTTCCGCTATGCCTGTGAGCAATTCATCTCTTCTTGTTAAGTATACAAACGATATAATATTCGGATCAGCCCACCCCGACCCATCCTTTCAGACCACTCTACAAGATGACTTATCAGAAATAGAGAAGAGGTATTCACGTATTTTTTTCCTTTTTGTAAAGGTCAAAGGTCAATACTAGCCTCCTCCTTTATATATTTTAGATGATCGAATGTATCGACAACCGTCTGTCAACTACCTCGGTGTTATTTTCAACCGTAACCTCAACTGGTCGGACCACTTCGATGACGTTTTTCTGAAGGTCAGGAGGCTCACGTTTTATGTTTTACGTCTTAAATCATTTTCTATCCCTATTCATCGGATAAGGCGTTTTGTTTTTGCTTGCGTTTTACCCCATTGGCTTTTTGGGTCCCCTGTTATCCTCCTCGATCTTTTAAACAAGGACCACAAACTCATTTCCCTACCCCTCGAGTTTCTGTTGGTATGTAGTTTTATACAACGGGAACATTTGGTACATAACGTGGTGGCACACCACCTCAAGTCCGGTAAAACACTCTTCAACAAGATTTTATCTCATTGTTCTCATTCTCTATATCCAGCTCTTAGTTAGTGCCTTTTTTATTCATCCACCAGTTCCAGGCATAAACTTATAAAAGCACGCACGGAAGCTTGCAGACGCTCTATTGTCCTGTATCCGGACAGATTTCTCACAAACCATGAACTCGTTGCAGAAAATCTGCTCGAAATGCTAACCCAAGTCAATAATGATCACCATTTTGGTTTCGTGATATTGTTGTCTGTTTCAGTTCTTTTACTGTTGTATTATATTTCCCATTTTCAGTGTTGACACACTGTGGTTATGTGGTTTACTGATAATCCTCCCCTCGGAGTGGGGATAAGGCGATTCTGTGAGTGGACCAGGTTTAGCCCCAACCTCACCGTACGCATAATATTTGGTACATGTACACTAGTGAAACGGATTCAGCGTCGATATGGCGACGCTATGAGCCGTGCAATTTATAAGACTAGGGTTGGGGGAGGATGTGATCTGAGGGATTGGTCTACTTGCTTTAGCGCTCCATTCAAATTCGGACGCAACACTAGCCAGAAAAGAGCACAGAGAAAGAGGGAGAGAGAGATTCCGATGGTTCCCATGGTCCCGCCTGCTCATAGCACGATTCAAGTGAAATCAGTTATTTGCTTTTCTGCACGCCGAAAGGTGGATGGATATTCAACAGCCACATAATCAAGCAAAATTACACCAGAATTGTGGTAAGCAAGGAGAAAACAGAACAATTGACGACATAATTGAGTTCAGTTCCATAGCAATGTTTTCTGGGTTAACAAGGACGCGGGCAGGATAAGTCACCACCACGAGGCCCTATTGTTCGGTCCTGGACACATGACTTTAATCGGATGAATGTGCAATAATCCTTATTGTTGTGGTTACCGGTGTATTAACTATTCACCTTTGTGTTTTTGGTAAGCCGCTTATTTACCGTGGAGGCGTCTTGAACTGAATAATCCACATTCATGGATAGATTCGAAGGTCTCTCAACCCGACCTGCCCAGCCCCGCCCTCCCCCGTCAAACACGCGTATACAGTCGATCGGTTGACCGTGGTCCATTTACCGCTTCACACCATCAACAACAACATACGCATTTTGGGTGAATTGAAACTTCAATTCGACGCAATCTGTGCGACTATAATGATGCCACTTGTCATTCTGTTCCACGGACTGGTATGACTCAGACCATGAAAACGTTCCCATGATTAGCCAAACACGCAGCAATCGAAAAAAAACCTGTGTAGGAAATTGCGTGTTTATGTGTGCGTGTGTGTGTAGTGAAAAGTACAGCGTGCGACCATGGCGTATGTGAACGTATGCACGTACGCAGTTCCTCCGGATGAGTCATTCCGTTCCAAAGTGGACGATAATTTTCGTATCCACTGGGGAGCAATGTTCCGGTTACTGCCGTCAAGACAAACTGTGTTTGGGTGGGACAGTGGTGAGGTGTGTGAAAGTGGTAATCTGGCCGCACCCAGGGCTGGGCAGATAATGCTACCCAACAGATACGATAGATGCGTTCGCCTGGGATCTCGGACCACGGAAACGAGTGAGACAGAGTTGACAAGTCCTATCTATCTCACATGATCATATGAATCAGCTATGTTCGTTTATGCGCGTTTGAACGAATCGAACCATGCAGTCCCGCATGTCAGTGTGATCAGGTGTGAGTTACATTGATCAAAGGGGACCTATTTCAAATCATCTCAGTTGCGAATCGTTGATCATTGGATGCATCGGTTCTGTCTCAACAGTCGTGAAAGATGGATAACCGTACCGACTCCCTGGATGGAAATGATATATATACCCCCCCCCCCATGCTCCACACAGATTTAAAATCAAATGTGTGTGCATGCGTGTGATATCTCCAATAATTCAGAACCACCGTGTTTGAATTCATCCTAAATAATCACCTTTACACAGTGATCAGCCGTAAAACTCCAGCAATACTGCGCTAACGACGGGTCATAACCTGAGTAGATGGTTGTATCTTATGTGGGGATGGGGCAAGGGGTGAACTGCCACAAGTGAGTGAGATGTTCACACTCTTCACCAGATAAACATATCAATAAATCTCACTGAGATTGGTCAGATGCCCAATGCATTTGGGCAGGGTGCCGGTTGGGTGTGATGATTGTGTGGATTCAGTCATCCAAGAATCGATGTTGGAAATAAGATGAATTTCGTTGTTCATTAGATATATGACATTTGATTTAGGACACAAGTCATGATGATCCGCTTTGATTTGTATGAGTGTCCACCATGTTCCAGGTTGTCAAATTTGATGTTGACAATCCTGCTACCGTCACCAGCACCACAGCAATCCGAAATTAGATTGCTCCGATCAACATCAAGCCTATCCTGTTTGAGGCCTGATGATAGAGTTTCTATAGATTTGATTTCCAGGTCCCATCACTGAACAGTGAATCCTACTGGTCATGGGGCTGAATGTCTCCCCTGTTCGTCACACTAAAGTTTATCCTGAGGATCCGAAGATCTGTGACTGTGTTTGATGTCAATTTTTAACACCTTTTTGGAGTTATCATTAAGCCGGCAGCAAAACCTGAGGTGGAACAACAACTTCTTGCAAAGCAATTC